TGGTTTCACTCACCATAAATTACCAAGCCCTTCAGGTTCAGTCCTTCAGAGTGCCATCAACAATTGCTCCATCTCAACCACCATTCTTCCAGGAAGGACAAAACAGAAGCAGTAAAATACTCCAACCCCCTGTGACCTTATATGCTGTTGGGGGTGGGGGGTGGGTAACTCAATATGCATCTTTGTATGTCCTGAAGAAAGAATCCCTTTCAGCACCTTCCCAGTGTAATGAAGACAAAAGCCACAGCTCCTGGTTACTCCAGGTTATCAATGGAGTTTCCAAAGAGTAAAAAGGCAGTTTTTGGATTCTGAGTCTGGTAGGTCTGGCTGTTCTCACTTAGACTAAATCACATGCTTCTCAGGCTTCCTTGTCAAAATCATATTGTTCCTTCTGGGCCTTTTGGCTATATTTTATGAAATAACTGATGTTCTCTGTCTCTAGGGGACAATTTGCTGTTGCTACCAAAGGATGAACTGTATGATCTAATACAGCCCTTCCAATTCTGTCTTTTGAGGTTTTTATAATTTTTCCAGAGATTTTCATTTTGTTCTCAAAGAATGGTTTGTGTACCCAACAAATTGTCCCATTGATATTCTTCAGCCTGGTAGATACTTCCTCTCTGTAGAAACTTTGCCACTCCCACCTTCCAGATACTACCCATGCAGAAGCATTGCTCCAGGAGCAGAGTGTATGGAATTATTTCATATCTTCTTATTTTTGGTAAACTCCCACAAAATTCACTTTTATTCTGCTTTCTTTTATCCCTAGCATTACCTACCACTGCTCTTTTCCCCGTTCCATGACGCTAGCTGACACTAGCATTCCCCAACCTGCCAAGCTCACCTTACTGGCTGTCTGCAGCATAAGCAATTCTCAAGAAATGATCTTTAGAGGAAACCCCTGTTTCCAGTCAGGCATAAGTACCCCAAAGCAGAATCAGTAAAATAATATCAGATCCTGGGACTGCTCATAGAAGAAATTTAACTCTAGTCCAAGTGTCTATGTAGTTCCACATAGTTGTTTACCGAAGTTTCACTGATCATCTGGGATGCACCTATTTCAGCTGGGCATCAAAATGAAAGAAGCCTGCAAATGAGCTTGCTTCCCAATGAGTTTACATATGGGACTCAATTCCAGGTGCATTAGCATCCCATTATGAACTGCTTTTCCAAGGAAGAATCCAAAGGGAATGAAGGATTAGAGATATGGGAGGCAGTCTGGCCTACATTTGCTTTAGACTTTCCTATCAGGCTCTTAATTTGCTGCTTTGTTGCACTCTTCCGGATGCACCATTCAGGGAGCTTTATTCACAGGGTCTGCCTTTGGGTCTCTGTCGTGTTCCAACACTGGGGGGGGGGAAGGAGAGGAAGGTGTAAGGAAAAAAAATGAACACTTAGGTTTTTCTGGCCTGAGGATTTGTCTGATCTGAGGAAATCTGCCAGGTTGCAGATAAATACATATATACACACATATATATACACATTTCCCTCCCCCAAAACCCTCCACTGCGTTTGCTGCTTCTGTAGGAGGTTGATTTTGAAATATCCCTTCCAAAGCTGGGATGGATGTTTCCAGTGTTGAGGTTTATTAAGTTCCTATGGCAGCTATTTCCAAGGCTGCTTTGTCATGTATTTCTTTGCAAGAGACTTTAAGAACGGCAGAGAGGCTTTGCAGATAAGGATTTGAATTGCAACCTTTAGACTAGAAGTGTAATAGGAACATCAGGGAATTAAATAAAATTATATTTTTCCTAGATGTCTGCTTAAAAAGGAAATTCAGGATTTTATGGATGCCCCAGAGACAAACTATTACATTACATTCCCCGCAGTTCTTATTTGAGTACTGTCTGTTTGAGCACCTCAAATAGCTCAGAATCATTCATAAAGAATGGGCAAGAGAGACTGTGTCCCATCAATATTTCAAGCTTGGCTATCAAATCAAGAGAAATTCATGAGTTCTGCTCCAGCTCAACATTTGCAGGTTTGATACTATTGTTTGACAGTTTAGGGGGGTTTCCCACTTCATTCTCATTGTCTTTAATATTTTATATGTTCTCCCAGTTGATGCTATTGTAATATTTATTAATTTTCTTTCCTCTTTCTTTTTTTCTTACTTGGCTGCACTAACCAGTTTCCTCTTTTCTCTTTCAGCAGGGAGAAATTCACACTCATTTGCTATTTGTGGGGTGATGACACAGTGTGAAGAAGCAGTAATGATGACTGACTGATAGAAGACACCATATGTTCTCTTCATTTTTCTCTGTGATATTTTCTGAGATGAATAGAGACTCAATATAAGGTAAACTTTCCTATAATACTTAATAATAAAAAGATTATTTTTTCTTTTAACATAATTGTCAGAATGGGGGAAATAATCTTTTTTAAAAACATTCAGATAGTATTACTATAAGTACCAGGCTCTAAATCACCAAGATAAATACTTTTCAGTCTTTTCCACCAGAAATATGCTACATGTGTCTAAGCACCAAATCCAAATTTATAATTAATTCCCCCCCCCAAGTGTTTTCCAGCCTTTCACAATGTATTTTGTAAATTGCATTTACTTATGAGAAAACAAAGGTAAACAATTCCTTTGCATTTTAAAAGAAGTAAGATTATAAATAGGATTCTGACAATTTGTAACAAATGATAACCACAAATCCTGATTATAAGCACAGTGCTAGTATCACTAGATCACAACGAAAATAGTAGATTCTATGCTGGGATGTTTCCTTACACCCTGAGTGGACGAGTCTGTCCAACTAATGCAAAAGATCCCCTTCAGTAAGTATTACATTCGCTTTAATATGTTTTAATCTCAGAATAATAAGAAATCTCATTTCAAATGAACACCTGTATGAAAATCTTTTACTGTTACAGCATAGATACTTACCAGGTATATTTTCTTATATATAATTATTAATTTTTTTCCATTCTGTCCTTTTATTTCATTCTACTATCTCAAAACCAAGGCTTTTTGATTGTTGCTCCTCCTCCTAACTTCATAATAGCCACTAACTAGCACCAGCCTACAGCCAGAGACATACATATAACTGCTCAATTTATTAGGCAGTCAGCAGCAGAAACAAAGAAGTAAACAAAAGGGATTCACGTTGCCTTCTGTTCCATTGGAGACAGAGTGGGGAAAAGATAAAAATCAATCCTCTCAAATACAAAAATAACCCCCAGAAATCCTTGTTTTGAATACTTTATTTATCAAATTTCCAAGAATGCTTTGCAAGTGATGGAGACAAAAATTGAAGAAAAACGTAACGGTGAGTCCTGCCAGGGCTCTTCTTTGGGTTTTGCTTTCAAGGTCATTCATTTAAAGCAATTTTCATAACCCAACCAGAATAAAGGATACAGAGCCAGCTCTGCTCACTCTATTCACAAAAGAGAGCACCATGCATGTAGCAGGTGCAAGTTTCCTTATGTCACACGAACAGAAGCCAGCCCTCGGAGGACAGTATTATCCTTGGTCACCTGCCATAGCAACAGACATCTAGGAATGTTTGACATTTATAATCTGTAACTCGATGCACTTTCCCCAGTTAGACTATTTATTTGTGCTGTTAAAGCATATGCACCCTGCATCAGAAAGAATATGACAGAAGATGCTCAAGTCAATCGATGATTGCAGTTTTCACGTAAGGAGCATGTGTTATTCTTCCACTGAACTTCAAGTGGCATGAATGCATCTCCCCCTGGAAAGCTGTATTGTGTGCACTTTTCTTTCCTATGACAACAGAATTACATAAAGTCTGATCTCAAATCTCTCAACCAAACATTCCATTCATCAGCAAAGACCTGGCTTACTTAAAGACTACAGAATTGGGTCCCTAATCAATACTTTAATAAATAACACCTACTTAGTGGGAACAATTGATTGCTAGAGAGCAGACTGAGTATAATGTATTTCTGTTAATCTAGTCAAAGGATAAATGTCACAGTTTATTTATAAGACACACCTGGAACTATTCAGAGGCTTGTATGTAGGATCCATCTTGACATGCATTTAGCACTGTATGTGCACAACATCCTGTTAAGGACAGGGACATCAGTGTAATACACTGGCTTTTTCTGCTGGCGATTCCTGATGCTAAAGCTCAGCTCCACGACCCCTGGCACAAAGGGCAGCCTCTGGGACCCGCTGCTCCAGGAGCTGAGGAGGGGGCGCAGAGCACTCTGGGAGATGTGGGAGGCTATGGGAATACTATTTCATTTCATCTAACTCTAGTGTTTCTTGATTTCATCCGGTAGCCACTTCATTACACTAAGCAACAACAAGGTGTGCCGGAGAGGCCATTCTGGGAATTACAGGTTTTACTGCCTTTACTCTTACTAGACTGCTCATTGTGCTGTGGGAGAAAAGCCCCTCGGTATTTTAGAGTGGAAAATAGCCAACAGAGAGTGCAAGAGGTACCTTCTGTGCAGTTAATCCACAGTCCACATCCCAGCTCTAGCCAAAGAACCTCAGTCTCCACCATGGCCTGACCACAGCATGCAATTTATTGCTCGGGAGCATCATCACTTCAATTCTCTTCCAAGTCCTAATTCCATTTCTCCGTATGGGGTTTGTGTTCACAACAACCTTCTTTTTTGGGAGTAAGTGTGGGCCACCGATCTTCCCAACTAGACTCAAAATACGCATATTTCCCACGGTATTGTTAAACTGCAGACCGGAGGACATGCCCAGAAGGATGCTTGTACCCACACCGGGGATAGGGGACGTGTCTCCCTGCCCCTTTCCTCCCAGGAAACGCCCGCTCAAGGACGCAGAAGCTTTCCCGGCGCCTTGCCGGGACCTTTCCTCCTTTCCCCGCAACTTCGCGTTCGGGGATCGCAATATTTGGGTCAGAGACGCCCAGGCACCCGCTCCTGATGCGGCTTCCCGGCAAGGAGCCGTCTGCGCGCCTGTGCGCACACACAGGCTCCACTCGCAGCCCCGCGCTCCGCACGGCGGTAATTTGCCCTTCAGACAATGCATAATTCAGCAGCCTTCAAGGCGGCCGGCGCCGCCGAAACGTGTCAAACTTGAGAGGCGAGCGGCATCCCGGAAAGGCGGCGGCACCGGCACCGCCCGCGCTGTCCCCGGGCCGCGGCGAGGGACGATGTGCCGAGGGCGCAGCAGCACCGGGCCGCGCTGCGCTCGCCGCCGGAGGCCTCCGCACCGCTCCCGGAGGTGCGCAGCCGGGCGCGGCGGGTGGGGACCGCGCTGAGCCGAGCGGAGCGGGGCCGGGGCGAGGCTGTGGAGGGGGGGCGGGAGGCGGGGAGGGGGGCGGCGGCCTCCCGTCTCCGGGCGGGCTGTCCCGCTTCGCTCTCTCCTCCCCGCCGAGGATCTTCGGCTCGAAGCCGTGGCTGCGTCGCGCAGAGCGGCGGCAGGCAGGCAGGCAGGCAGGCGCGGCGCGGCGCGGAGGATGCGCTGAGTGCGGGAAGACAGCACGGCCGCGGTACAGGTCAGTGGCGAGTTCCCCGTCCCCGGGCAGGGCTGTGCCGCCCCGGCACCCCCGTTCCCCCGCATCCCCCGGCTGCTCCCCAACTTTTCCCCGCTCCACTTCGGGAAAGTGCCCAAACTTGCGGCGGGGCATCCCTTGTCCCGCGTTCTCCCCTGACCCCGGCGGCGCGACACCCTCACCTCGGGGCTGCCCTCCCAGCCCGCAGCGTCGGAGAGAGCGGGCGGCGCCGCAATTAACAGCGCCGGTAATTGCTGGGGTTGCGGGGCAGGTGCCGCACCCGGGGCTGGGCTCGGTGCGGGCTGCCTCGGGGCTGTGGCTCGTCCTCCCTCCCTGGTCCGATGCCCTCGCTCGGGCACGGGGCTCCGAGAGGCGCCTCACAGGGAGCCCAACTTCAGGTGAGGGATGGAGCCGGGGATACGGGGCTGGCTTGAGTGCCTGGAAGGAAAAGAATGGGATCCAAAGCAAACTAGTTAGTGAATGCCGGCATCTCCCTAGGCTGGAAATCCAGATGACCCGAGTTCTATCTGTGCGCAAGCAAGGGCGGGTGTTAAGGCACTTTCTTATCACGGGAGTTGATCTCCAGTAATGGGGAAACGGGGTTTGTTTTAGGTGCTGTTGTACCACATTCCCTTATAAGTGCACCGCTCAGCAAGTCACTCGTTCCCCTGCCCAGTGACACTAACAACTCAGACCTTGCAAAATGCCACCTTACCCTTAAGAGGATACACATTCAAAACACGGCAACCATACAGCAAAGAATAATTTTGCATAAGTGTGTTAGTACTAGTATGATACCGCTGGGCAACCAGACAGCCCAGGCACCACGCTGGCATCTGGGGTTCCCGGAGTTGGCTGGGAACAAGGTGATGCCCCGTTGTAGCTGTGTGGTTGGTTTTTTTCAAGCCTTTTGGGGGGTTAGGAAAGCCCCTTATTGTAACTGTATTCTAACGTTGCTTTCTGGCTGCAGCTGACTTGTGTCGTGGGCAGATTAACACGCTTAAAAAACCCAGAGATGCTCACTTTTTTATGTTACCCTGCTTACCCTGAAATGCTCATATTTTATTGCAAGATTTAAAAGTTGCAGCTCTTCAGAGAATAGGCTGTATATACAGTACCAGTGAGGGGGGGGTAAATGGTAAACCCAGATGGCCTGAGAAGTGAAAACACAGTCGCTAAATCCATTTTGTTTGTTAAAGATGGTCACCCTCTGATGAGAAAGCTACCCCCAGCTTATCCCGGGAAGATTTCCTTTTGTTAGATGCCTCGTGTCTCATCAATTCCTTTCGTGTCCTCGGGATTTTCTCTTTTCCAGGAGCAGGCCACAGCAGCTCTCTGTGTTGGGGATAACCGTTAAGCTCTTCTTTTGAATTCATGAGCTTCCAAATTAAACTTTTGCTGACACCTGCTACCTACCCTGGTTTAGCAGAATGACAGCGTCACCCAGGCTCTGCCACCAAGTGAAGTAAATCACAAAGAGGTGCAAAGTGCCCTGGTTAGGTCACACAGTGATTTGGGGGAGCTCTGGGAAACCAGGGCTACTGGAAATCTAATCAAAGTCTGCTTCTAATGGAGCAAACTTTCCAACAGCAACCACAAGCAGGAATTAAATCCACAGAGAAGACAGCAGCGGAGATTAATCATCATCATCATCAATTAGCTGATGGAATCAAACAGAACCAAATGAGGGTAAACAAAAATCTGGCTCCCCCTCAGATCTAGCCCCACCTTTATTTGTCCAGTGTCAAGGATCCCTCTGCTTTCCAGTGCCAAAAAATTTAGCAGGTGTCATAACATAAGGTCAAGACTTAATTATTTATATGGAGACATCAATCATCATGTGGGGATGATTTATTTATAAATCACCAGAGCTGTAAAATGAGACAGTGAATTCTGATTTTCTCCTGCGCATTGTGAAAGGGGACCAGGAAGGTCCAAGCTGTGGCTGAGTGACCTTTGGAGCCTGCAGAAGTTTCTGCTTGGCCCCACATGGAGGAGGGTTTTCTGTGCTCTTTAAATCATGTAACCAAAATGTCACTAGGGAAATCTTATGCATATTTGCTACATCTCAGTAATGAACATTTACTGATTATGGGTTATCTGGAGAATTTGGCTTTTTAAACATTATTCAAATTTTTATGTTTATGTAAGCTAATAAGACTAAGGAGATTAAGTAAGTACTCTTTGCCTTATGGTATTTGAAAAGTATGTCCGTTGGGCTTAGCTCAGCATCTTCCAGAATTGCTTTTAAAATACTAAAATAGAATTTTTCTGCCTAAAAAAAAAAAAACCACCACCCTATCTGTGCTCAATATAATGCTCCTTCCTCACAATTAATGCCAAAAATCAATTTTCTAACATGCTTTTTATGTTTCTGCTGATCACAAACAGAATGGCACAGTAAAAGCTTTTACTGCCGTCTGATTAGTCCACAGTTGTGGTAAGTGAATAGCTTGGGCTAGTCTGACTGCAAGGTTCCCGAGCTGAATGCAGTGGATACAGAGAAAAGCATGGGGTGCAAAGCACCAGGAATGATCCTGCTCTGAGTCATTCAAGGAAATCTTTATCAACCATATGAGCAGAAGCAGGATCAGACCCATAGGTTTTCTGATAGCTGGACAAAGTGACGAATATGTGCTTGGGATGTTCCTGAATCTCCTTCTCCTCCAGGTTTCTGAGGAAAGGTTAATGACAGCCAGAGTTTCTCAGAGATTTGTCATTTATTTATCTGTTAATAGAAATGGTGCTGCTGATCTTATTTACATGATTGAATTTCAGATAGGGAGGTGATGATTAAGTTAGACTGAGTCAACCTTGTCAACCAGATAAGGTCCTTTCTAACCCTAATTTTCCATAATACTGTGATCTCAAGTTCCCTCCCAACCCAAACCATTCCGTGAAAATGTTTTTTTTTTTTTAAAAAAAAAAACAAAACAACAACCAAAAAAACCCCAAAAAACTTAGAATATAGGAAGAGAGAGATGGAAAGGGAAGCTACAGTGAAGATGAGTACAGCTAGGATGGAAGGTTTCCTTTGATCTCCTCTCATTATCTCAATAAAACTCTGTGTAGCACAAACCCATAAGCTTTACCATTCAAAAGGACTCTTCGAAGCATGAGGAGTATCCAGGGCAGCTCGTGATCCTTCTGAACTTCATGGCAGGACTCCATCTTGGCAAGAGCAAGTCAATAAGCAATCCTGCACATCCATTATACTGTTCCCAGGGATCTTAAAAGATGACCATTTATCACTGTATTTCAGTGATAGAAATACTAAAATAATATCTCACTGGGTTTGCAAAACCGTGCAGATTATGGGTGAAAGGATGGATGAGCTGACATCTTCAAGAAACAATTAAGACATTAAGAGTGGGGGAAAATATTTTTAGACATCAACCAATCAGTGAGAAGATTGGAATTTAGAACAGGATTCAGTTATGAAATGTTCCTCAAGCACCCGCTGGATCTTACCCAGAGCATATGAAAAATGAAAGATTAATAGTATTTCTCGTAGGCAAGACCAGTCAGCTGCTTGTGTATTTTTATGGTATACTGGGTACATTTATAGCAGTTAGTAATGCCAGCAAACGTTCAATATGAAGAGTAACAGATGTATCATGAAACAAGGCACTGGCAAGGCAGGTGGGAAACGATTTCCAAAATATTGCAGCAACCAGGCTGCAAGGAATGTAGTAAGATGGTAAACATAATATAATAGACCTAAGCAGCTTTAACCAAAGCCAGGGTTAAAGCCTCACGTTGAGTCCCACTGATGCAAGACTGAGCCTGACTCACACGTTACACAGAGGAGGAAAGCCAGGACTTGCTGCATGCAAACCCCAGCAAAAGTGTCTTCCACACCACACCATCCCCGGTGCTTCAAAAGGCGAAAAGTGACAATGAAATCACCGTTGAGCGCAAACAGGAGAAAGGAGAGGAATGAAATTGCATTGGCTCAACAGCAAGAAACAAATCACAGACTTCCTTCATCAGACAGACGATGCCTAACTAGGGCACAAAGTGAACCACGAAGGAAGGTGCCAGATTTCACAAACTAGTCATGGCAAAAAACGGTGAATTTCACAGCTTGAAGTGAATTCATGTTATAGGATGAAACAGCATAAAGTGATTAAGAGTTCTGACTGATAGAAGTAATAAGCATGTGAGCCTTAGTCATCACACAGCAGCTGACATTTCTCCCTGGCTTCAGCTGAGCCATAGGAGCAACACCTTCAGCTGTCTGTTTCTGATGTTGAGTGAGGGCTAGTGGGGGACATCCACAAATAAGGTATTTCCAAGAGTTTTCTGTCTCCAGGGGGCACAAGTACAGTAGTCCAACGGGAGTTGGAGCCACTGTTCTGAAGGCACAGTCTCCCAGTGCCACAACTGAAATCTGGAGCTGTGGCCTCAGCGGTAGAAAGCATGCTGCGAGAAGAGGTCAGGAGACAGCATGGCCCTGTATTTACAGCATCACCCCGCTGGTGGAAGAGCAAAGTGGGAGGACAGCTGAGAGAGGTTGGAACAAGGGGGTAACTTGCAGCACACTCCCTGCCATGCTGGGGACAACCTTCCAGGTCTGACAATGCCACTCCTGGAACCGTTAGGTGCTGGCATGTGCCACCTCATGGTAAACACGCCACAGCATGCATCCCTAGTAGTAAGCAACCATTAAACAGCCCATTCATTGGCTTTCTTCTGAAAGCCACCCAATTTCCATTCTTTTGGGGATAAAAACCAAAGTCACAAGCCTCTCCCACAGGTGCTGTTACCCGACCTTTTCTGGCAAAACATTTCAATAGTTGTTACATTGCATTTTCAAGGAAAACTCTTAATAGGTACTGGAACACCACCCTAACTTTTGTATTCCTACTTAGACAAGGATAAAAATTCTGGAGAAATATGTCACCATTATATCTTAATTCTTTTGTTTCAATGCACGCCCTTCTATCATAGTTCTTGAAAATCAGAGAGCAAAATGGAAGCAAAGTGAGCTAATACCAACCAGGATGAGGCCACCCCAGAGGATTCCTCCTCTGGCAGCATAAGCCTCCTTCTAACTCACCCAGTTCAAGGCACACCATGGGGCAGGCTCTGCCAGGCCCCGGCATCATGCCCCAGAGCAGAATGGCTCTGCAGGCTGCCAGGAAGGTTAACAAACCCTAGCACTGGCAGACGGAGCCGAAACTGCAGCAGAGTCATGAACCCTTCAGAGAGCAGAGCGTGCCAGCTTCCCTCTGTTTATTGAGGGTGTTCCAGCATAGTCGGGTCCACTGAGCGCAGCTGTATTAACATCACACAGGGAGAAGGGAAGCTGAGCAACTTGCCAGGACTGAAGCCATAGAGGAATGTAATGGGGCAGTGCCAGTTCCTTCAAATCCCACCTGGAAGTTATTAGCCATGCGCTGGAGGCAGTGGAGCACCTGCATCCCAGAATATCGAATGTGCATCACTTGCACAGAGCCCAGCTGAACCCTGGCTGGGCACTGTGTGGCCATAGCTCCAATATTCCTGACTCAGAGCAGGACAGGATTTTAAATTGTGCACCAAAGAAACACTCTAAGGATAGGAAAATAAAGTTTGAAAAGATTCCTAAAGCATTTCTGAAGGAATGCATTTGGACTCCTGGTAGGGAACTAGACTTTAAAAAGGCAGGATGGAGGGAGAGGCCCTCTTCTCCCAAACTGATTTCAAAACTTGGCAGATTTAAGAAACCTTTCAGTAACATTTTGCGGATCAATGCTAATTTGATGCATCGGAGCTCAGCACGGTGCCAATTCACTGTCAAACTGATATTAACTAGGCATGTTTATAGCTCAAGGTCCATTAAATATGCAGATGTGACAATTATTGCACCTCCCTTATAATACTTCATTTGATATGTGTATCACAGCATCCATAAATGGTCTTTCAGTCTTCATCAGAAAGATGCCTGTCTCACTCAGAGGAGTGAGCCCTTGCTGCGGAGGAGGGCTGAGGCTGTGCCTGTGATGAAGACAGAAGGCAGGCAATGGGGCTGACTACTGCCTGCAGTGCTGCCAAGAGCAGTACGACCACGATAAAATCTCCTAGGGCCTGATCTGCCAACCCCTATTCATACAGTAACCAACCCCATGGAAGTCAGTTAATGTAAGTAAATGAGTAATTACTCACGCTGGGAAAGGTGGCAGGATCAGTTACATAAACTTTCAGAGTGGTTTTTGAACTCGAATGCCTGCAATCTTACATCCACTTATAGCTAGGAGCTAAATAAAAGTTGCTTTGTTTTTTAACAGTTGCTCATATGAACCAAAGCCCCAGGAGATCCTGGGTTTAAAACCTGGGTCCCTTTAATATCTGCACAGAAACAGTTTAAGAAATGTTGGTTTCTTATTCTATAAAGTGTGACCCTCAAATGCAAAAATGATTCCCTTCTGAGTTGTGAGAATCAAAGCAGTAGTTAGCTGGTGACATGTATTACTTAGATGATTGACTTTATGCACCTACGTTTGAATATTTGATTTAATATGCCTTCATTTTTACATCCTGGCATAGGGATACTACTTAGCTCAAAGAAGAACAATTAATTTTTCTGTTGCTTTTAAGTTCTTTAAAGGAAGGTTATATAAATAATTATTTAATATACTTTAACAGCGTTTTTTGGTGTGGGTTTTTTTTTTTTTGCATGAGCTGCTTGATCTGCTTAAAGCACATAAATCAGTATGAGCCGAATTAGAAAAATAAGTTCAGAAATCTGAAGGGTGCATCAGAAGTTAGACTAGTGCATAAGAAGGGATTAAAACTACATTGCTCTTTCATTTCAAAACAACACAGATTGTTTTGTGGACCTTTGGACATCTCATTTCTTAGGAATCACAAAATCCATTTGTGAAAAGATCTATGAAATAAAGGAATAAATTGTAAAAGTGGTATCCAGGTCAATAACACATGAATTTGCAGGCACATACATGGGAGATGCCGTGAATCTCCTCTTTGTGTTACCGTTCAGAAGAGCAGTTATTTTCTTCATTTTTACAGATGCCAAAGGCTCAGAGAAAGGAGTACTTACAGAATGCTGCCCTTCTTTTCTTGCAGCAGAAATGTATTTGCCTGCTTTCTCACGTAAGAGAAGAGACAATGCTGTCCTATTCGGCACTGACTGAAACCTGCTCATCTGGAGGTTATCACAGCATCAGGTGTAAACCAGAACATGACCAACTATTATTTCATCCTTGCATCTCCTGCTCCAGAGCTTACACATTTCCACACCACCAGTTCTAGGGAAAGTTGCCTCCCTGCCATTTCTATGATGTCTTACAAATACTTAGATGCTTTTTCCCAGCTTTCTGCAAAAGTGTATCACACATCCAAAAATCAACTCTCCAACTACAGAAACTGATTTATTATTTTTCTGGCTTTACAGCTATACAGATCACAGTGTTAAGTGTTTCTTGCTACTAGTACCTTCCCTCATTGCAAACCCCCTTGACAGTGTTTCAGAGAATCAGTTACAACTTACTATCAAAATGGTTCACATCTACTTAGTTTTGCCTGGATGATCCATCTGGGGAAGCTGCTGTCCAATGAATTACTACTCTTGTCTGCGTTCACACAGCCATCCCCAAACTCCCCAGCATCTCTTCTCTGCTTTCTATCACCTAACTTAGTGCCAAGATGGAAGGGTGGCAGCTGTCTCAGCACTTAATGCCAGTATTCTTCCTTTGCAGGCAAGGGGAAGGGATTTGCTTTCAAGCTGCCCCTTTTCCCACTGAGACAGACAATGACATTATCTCACATCTTTAAATATGGGTCTTGAAGTTAATGGAGTGACAAGAAGATGCAGAGGTTTCATGTTTATGATACAGAAAATTTACATGGATTATTTATTTCTTCCCCCCCCCCCCCCCCCCCGATATTTAAAATCTAAAGAAACTTTTTCATTCTTAAAATAGTTGCATGTAAAATATGGGAACCACTGCCCAAGGAGCCTATAACTCACATAAAGCTCTTTGAATTCTGCATCTTACACAGAAGGTCTACAGCACTGATGGCAATCTGTACATAATATCTACACATAATAAATAATCACACTTACCTGCACTGTATTGTTCTAACTACATTGCTGTTAACATCTCTTGCACTGCTTTCAGTTCAAAATACTAAAATCAGCTTGTTGTTTAACCTATAGTTTACACTGGGAGAAGCCTGAGCTTAGATTAGTGTCAGGAGTTTATCTGAGGTCTCTGTTATAATATCAGCATGTCACTAGCACAGGAATTCATCTGGTTTTCATAAATATCTGATAGGGCTCTATCACCATCCTCATCATCATTTTAGGCTGGTTGGAAGAGGATCTCCCCACGATTGCAACCCCTTTCCGAGTTGTCATGGAAAGCCAGTTGGTGGGTGATATTTCAATCAGAGTGTTCTTATAACAAATTCCATTCAAATTCTATCTGAAAGGGAGTTAAGGTTTCATCCTGCTGCTTAGAGAATGATATGCTAAATGCAGCTTCCCACGGGCTTGGCTGCAGTCCAGCGCTTTGTAATTTATAGTTCTCCTTCCCAATTCTGGCTGTGACCTTGGGACCTAACAGTGAAGTTCCCCCAGCCGATGGCATCATTGTAAAGACGGGAGTCTTCACCCACTTCCCACCTGGCACAAGGCAGGAGCATGGCAGCAGATCACCAGCACTCCCACAGAAAGGCAGGTGGGAGCAGGGAGCCGAGGGGAGTGCTCATTTTCTCGCTTTTACTAATAGGAGCAAATCATGGAACATTGTTCTTAAATGACAGAAATTATTAGCCAACTTCAAAGCATGAAATGCATTTACAGAAGAGGTCTAAATTATGTTCGCCAAAGGCATTTTCTGTAGAGACAGCCACAAAAAAAGCTCTAATTGGAGATCTCCAAACAGCTGTTGTGCCCAATGTATTTATATTGGAAAATAACTTGAAAGATTATGTTAACATGCAATTAAAAAAAAAGTTTAACATTATTACTGATCTTACTGATAGCATCCTGAGAAACATTGATACTATTTTACTGAGAAATATGTGTGTCCATGGCCAGAGGAGCTGACAACCCAGATTGTAACACATGCCATTTTTAACAGAAAAATTGTGTAATTGAGATAAGTTATTGCCCCTTGAAGATTACATTCATTATAGATTGTAAGAGAGATATGTCTTTAGAATAGTGTAGTTCCCTTCAGTTAAATAGCTATTCAGAAAGATGATCATTTAAGCCTATGTATGTAGCTGTGGATTGTTTTAACAGTTATTGAAGGAGGGCAACTTGGAAGAAGGTGAGTAGACCCACACAGCTCTTCTGTTCCTTTATCCTTTCCAGGTTTTTCCAAGGACATACCTTCTGGAAATACTTGTTTGCAGGTACCTATCTGAATACCTCAGGATAGGGAATACTACTAAAATAAAAAAGGGTGACATTTAAAAACCATGATTTTAAAAGTCTTTTAGATTTTTTATTTCACCAGTAATTGTCAGGTATTTTCAGCACAGCAAATGTTACAGATATAACTTTAAAACCAAAGGAAAGCAAAACTTTTCACTGTTTCTGGTCTTCAAGGTAGTCCTTGTGATAGTTTTAGTGATTGGCATTTTCCGTAAACAAGCCTTTTCTGTAACCCAGTCAAAACCCTGAATTTATACAGATCAACCTTGAAATGCTTCTTCTATGATCTGTGTTGTAGACATCAGAGAATCATTACATTAATTAGTTTTTTTGTAAATAAGAAACCAACAAACACAAGAAACTCCCTCTGCAAGATGGTGTCACTAAGATACCACTGGCAAAACATCTTTCAGCTCTCTGGATCGGTCTAAAATGTGGTGACCCTCAACTGGAGAACTTCAGCACAGATTCATTAGGCTTTTCTGCTTAACTACAACACAAGTCAAATTAAACCATTAAAATGGTACAAAATTGTTTCAGATACAGTGTTGGTACTCCAGTGCTTCTTCTGGCCTGGCATTAAAGATGCAGCAGGCTCACATTTAGCATCTCGTTTGCTTTTGCACTACGTGCTGCAGCTCTTGTTTTCCCTCAGTTGCACAGGCACTGGAGGCAGCTGCAGAGCAGTCCTGCAGTGATGTCCCATGGGCACTACATTGCAAAGAGAGCACTGGAGAGAGGCGTCTCCTGCAAAAACACATGTATTTACTGGCAAGTTAGGAGCAGTGCCCACAAGTGAGCTTTATGGAAAGGACCTTAGATGGCAGCAGCACTGTGTGTGCAGGTACCTTCGCTGTGGTTCCTTGAAGGCAAGGGCGACCAGCAGTGTTTGTGGAAGGTTTCTGTGGAAGAAGTTTTTTTTGTGCTGTTCACTGAGTATTTATTCTGGCAGTAGCTCTGTAACTGTGCTGTAAACCTCCCTGGGTTCTGGTTGCTGTGTACCCAGGAGTTTGACTAGATGCCAACCAACAGCAAGCTCTGTGATAATTGTATATCATGTCGCAGTGGGAGCCCTATGCCTGTGGGTAGCAACAGTCTTTATGC